GAAAGGGAAGCATCATTACAATCGAAAGAGTGTTTGACAAGCAGTATGAGCCAGTTTTTCTAAGAAACAAGAGCACAAATTACTTACTTTACTTACTGTTTACTAGCTGTAGCTATTATCTAAGGCGACATCAATACTGAAAGGAAACCTCAAAATGGTTGATTTGATTTAACGCCCTTTCTCTAGAACAATCTGAGGTTATAATGCTGTTAAGCTACTTATATTGCAAAATGCACAAGAATACAAAGCGCACATAAACACAGGGTGAAATAGTTTGTTTTTAATTAGATGGAATGGTTACTGATGCTTTTTAGTAATGAATAAAACATCTTCCTCAACTTTGTTGCAATGCATTCTTGTATTGCCTTATCTGTGCAGGATATATGTAATGCTGCATGATTTTAATTTGGCCAAAATGCAGCTTAGTTGCCTGCTGGGAGCAGACTTTGCATTTGGAGTGTGCCTATGTTGCTGTCTAGTTAGGGTTTGAAACAGAGCCCATCTCATATTTGTTGATGAATGATTTAGAGGGTTTTGCAAGAATCCGGTAGCAAATGCGGTCAGTGTGTTGACACAGCAGTTTGAAAAAAATCTACCTCTCGCAATTGGGCTCATAATGAGGCAAACAGCACCACCTAGCACAGTGCGTTACTAAACCCTGGCACCCAGGAAAAGCCACAGAGTGTAACCAGTCACAGCCTTCGAGATGCCACAGCTTTAGGGTATCCAGAATAAAGAATGTGGGTCACGCAATTGTGCCATTAATCATGATCCACAAGCTTGGCTCGCAAACCCCCACCCAGTAATAAGAGGAACTACTGCAGGGCTGCGGTCTCACTGGTTACTGACTCTTCATTAAGATGCATGATGCCATTTAGTGACAGGCTGTGATCCCCTCTTAAAATGCAACTTTGTGTGATGCATTAATATCTAATGAGGCCAAGTTCATGGGAAGCCTCACTGTATTTGGCACAAGGACAAGTAGAGATGCATATTTGAAGCTAATGCCACGAATATGCTGTGAGGTGCCACAAGTATGTAATAAGTAGGCCCGTATGAGATCTGTGCACTTTTTTTTATTTTTTATGCTGATTTGTGAAGGAAAATCTGCGTAATGGTTGTAAATATGGTAAAATGTGTTAGGGCAAAAGGATTTGTAGTATTTTATAAATGTGGGCCATTTGAATTCCGCTGAGGATTTCTGCAGGCGCAGATTTCGTGCAAGCTTAGCGATATATAACAATAAGAAAAGCTGCCTGACAAAAAAATGCAGAGGAATGGCATTAATAATTTATGTAATCAGCCACATCATAAAACTGTAAAAACAGATCAAGAGAGGGAGGAAGAAGACAGGTGGTATTGTTTTTAAATAATTAACACTTTTTTTATTTTTAAATTGCAGATTTGATGTGTCAGAAAAGTACTGAGATAAAATGGACACAGAAATTCAAAGTCAGACTATTTGCCTAAAAACATATTTCAGTATTTAAAAATAAAATGAAAAAACTGATGAAATGTATACCTTGAATGCAATTTGGATAAAAACCATCTGCCAAATGCATAAACAAATTTTTTATATTTAATTTTATTTATGTTTTAGCCTTTGAAATTGACTGATGAAATCAAGAAACTGAGGAGATTTACTCATTTAATAAAGTTTGATCAACACATTAGAAAAGTGGGAAGGATGGTTCACGTGTGGTCATGTGCTTGCATGATATTGGTCTGAGGACAGCAGTCCATGTCTGTCTGTTATATAGTGGATATAGATCACTGGATTAATTCAACAGCTCAGTGACAGTGAGATAGGTTGGGCGCTGCACAGATGTGGGTTTCCACAGATCCTCCTGCGTACGACAGCTGTCGGAGAATATCACTTCCTTGAGCTTAAGTCAAGATGCTCTGCAAACCTCTTTGTCTTTTATTTTGGCTGTCTAAAGGTTTCTTGCAGAAATGTTACTCAAAAGACTTCATGGTTCTTTAACATCCATAGAACCTTTCCACCGCACAAAAGGTTCTTTATAGTAGAAAAAGGTTCTTTAGATTGTTCAAATGTTCTTCACACTAAGAAAAAATGGTTCTTTAAGAATTGTTTACTGAAAGGTTCTTTGTGGAACCCAAAATGGCTCTTCAATGGAATCTTTACAAAAATCTATTGGAACCTTTATTTTTAAGAGTGTATATAAAACTAATACATCAGCAAACTTCGAGACTTTTGTGATGCGACACACTCTCTTCAATTATGAGACTTCATGTCAACCTGACATCCCATTGATCTGCCCAGCAGACATGAAAATGTCAATGGGCTCTGGTTTTGTTTGCGCATGATCGCCACATGCTCTCATAGAAACACACACATACTCAGTCGGACAGCACACACGCGTCCCAACGGTCCCACACTAAGTCCTTTGGGAAATTAGTGACAGGATCACCAGTGTGGGGATGTCCTCCACGGCCATATGTCGCTTTGCAGAGATGCCGTGTTCACATTGACGTCACCATACACCCCATTCTCTC